ATAATCGCGTTACAATCATGTCAGGTTTTTGGTGGATTTAATTAAGTCTTGGATTGCAGAGGATGAATGTCCTCTAGCAATTTTCAGACGATATATACGTGTGTAAAGTTTGTGAAGGCAGGAGGAAAAAAGCTTCCGCGATCGTCTCCTCTCCGTTCCTCCAAGCCCCGCCCCCTCCCTGAAAATAATGAGTGACAGGCTGATAGTGACCCGATAGAAACTTTATTATTCACTTAATCACTGAGATATAATGAAGCTAACTTAATCTCATACATTCATGGGATTTATGCAACAGTAAGACAGAGAATGTAAGTGTGCACCCACATGCAGTATTTTAGTTGTTATATGCTGTTGTAAATACTCCTGTTGTCTGCTGTGTTCAGACTCAAGTCCTGTGTGTGATGCCACATTCAGGACATTCAGTGTCCTTTTTTTTAACAGAAGACCGTTGCTAGAAGCTGCAGCTAGACTGCAGAAGCATTCGTTTTTTGTTTTTGAGGATGGAACACACACAGATATAGGGAGGCTAGACCTATACAATTCATTTATTTTGGTTTATAAATGAATGTCAAGACATATATGTTATTGATTTCTGAAGCACTTTCTAAATAATAAAAAGAGAGTTCATATATATTTACTGCATGTATGCATTGATGAAAAATAAGCCATGTGCAGTAATATAGAAAATTGAGGATGCAACGCATTGGTATGAATCGTGATGCATCGGGATGCATCGGGATATCGAATTGAATCGAATCGTTGACAGGATAATCGTAATCGAATCGAATCGTGAGACCAGTGAAGATGCACAGCCCTAATAGGTATTGGTATCATCACTGAGCGATCAGAATTTGCGACAGGGGAAGCAAACACAGACATCACAACACAAGATCGTCTCACCTTAGCTGTTGGTTTCTGATCAAAAGTCGTGTTCAATGGCATTAAAACGATAAAAAAAAGCGGAGGATTCACTCTGAGAAAATAAGATCAAATCGACTCCCTAATTAGTCATTCCAAAAACTTTGACTCACCACTTTTTTGCGTTCAATTTGTAAAGCAACTTCAGTCCTAATCAAAAATACCAAGTATGTAATCATTGTCAGGATTTTAACCCTTTAAATGCCATTTTGAAAACATCAAATCACTGTTTTCCATATAATACATATCTGGGGAGTGGCTTCTTTTTTTTATCACAGTCTTGGATATGTCACAGATAGTGAGAGTAGAGAGTGATACGGAGGATGACGGTTATAAAGACGTGTTTCTGAGACACTTTAAAGAGGCGTTAGACGTACCGGCTGCAGTCTGAAGACGACGGGGATCTTGGAACTGATCGTCCCGCCCCTGATCGATCAGGACGTCCAATGGAGGGCCGGGGTAAGAAGTAGCCAATACTGTGGCATCGTACTCCTGGAACACACACACACACACACACACACACACACACACACACACACACACACACACACACACACACACACACACACACACACACAGACACACACACACAAACACACACACACACACACACACACAGACAGAGAGACACACACACACAAACACACACACACACAGACATAGAGACACACACACAAACATACACGGGAACACACATACATACACAGACAGAGACACAAACACACACTTACAGACAGAGACACACACACAGACAGAGAGAGACACACACACACAAACACACACAGGAACACACATACACACACAGACAGAGACACAAACACACACACACAGACAGAGACACACACACACACACACACACACACACACACACACACACACACACACACACACACACACAGGAACACACAGACAGAGACACACACACACAGTCAACATTTATTGAAATACTAAAAAAGTTTACGGTTATTTACTGATTCAGTTTGCATTAAAAAAGACAAATCATCGTAAATAAATAAATACTAGAAAAATAGGTGCTTTTTCTACACTATAAATCTCCAGCTTGCTTTTAAATGCTCTTTAAAATAGATTACTAAATGTGATCATGATAATTATTTCTAAAATTAACATAAACTATGTGTATCTAACCAAAGAATCTGCTTTAATCCATCTTTGTTTTCATCTATTTTGCACATTCTTTAGACAAGCTAAACACCTGAAGTACTTCTACACATCATCTAAAGTACGAGTCTAAACAAGTTAAATATCTGCAGAAATACGTGACTTCACAGGCTCTTCTGCAGGATACATTAACAGCTACTAGCATAACACACTTGAATCTGTGGTGGAGCTAATGCATTGTGGGTAATGTAATTACCAAATAAGATCAGTATCATTATTTTCAAACTTCACATAAAATATTTTCATCTAATCAAAAATTCTGCTTCTTTGTTTTCATATATGTTGTACGTTCTTGTACTTTTATACAACCACAACAAAAATATATATGTTTTTAGTGTGATGATGAGATCTGATGACACTCAGGTGTGTTTCCTCTCACCTGCCAGGGGTCTCTGTCCGACCCCAGGTATCCAGAGAAAGCCTTCTGACCCCAGGGACTCTGAGCCGGGTTACAGATCGGAGCAAACGCTGACACAGTCTGAGGAAACACGGGAGAATCAGAAATAAGGACCAGAATATGTGAACACACACACACTGGATTCAAGATTCAAAGGTTTTATCATCATATGTTCAGCAGCTACAGTGTAGAAATGGCAATGAAATTCTTCTGACCTGAGCTCCTCCAACAATGCAACATATATCATAAAATACAAATAGTGCAAGAAGTCTACATATATGTAAATAGAATATGATATGTAGAAGATTAGCATTGCACTCAGGGTCAAATACCAACAGACACACAGAGGTAAAGACAGAGTAACATGTGCATGCAGGTAGGGAAGGAAACAGCTGTTTATATGTATGATGTGTGTGTGATAAACAACACTTAAAGGTCTCCTATTGTACTGCTTTTAGGCAGATATTACAGGTCTCAGATATATAAAAACATGTCTATGAAGTGTTTTGCTCAAAATACCAAACAGATCATTCTAGCCTCAAACCCTCTATTTCAGCGCTGATATTTTTTGCCATCCGCACGATATTAGTCCTGGTGCAACAGTTCACCAACAGAGAGTTTCACAGGCAGTTAGGGAAAAGGTTCTATAAAAATCAAACAATTTGAAATGTTGTTGATCACTGCTAAAACATAGCTATTTTCCATGGTTCCTGTGACCTAGTGTCCAAAAGTATAGTTTAAATATAATGCCTAAACCCTGCCTGCCGTCATTGTTTTTTTTTTTTGTTAACACTTTTGTTAAACACTAGACCCCATGTCTTTCAAAATGTACTTCATTGCCCACCAGGGGCGGTTCTGGGGGGTGGGCAGGAGACTTTGGACCCCCCTGTGGCACCCCTAAAAAAAAGAATAGGCGGAACTAACGCTATTTGTCATTCTAGTCGGACCCATTAGAGCGTAAAAACTGTAACTATAAGTATCTGAAATAAATATGTGTACTGAAACAAATACCAATAGCTGTATTGCATTGTTGTTATGAGCAATTACTTCATACTGTCTTTGTCTTTTTCGTCCTGCATTTATTGGGCCCCCTTCAGAAAATAACTGGCCCCCCAGTCAAATTGGTCTAGAACCGCCACTGTCGATAATTGCAGTGTAGATATATGTACTGGGTTTTCTGTTACTGTAAAAGATGGGCTTTTTAGCTATAGCTAGCTCATTTTTCAGATGGGTCCGTTGGGTTGTCCTTAGGCAGTGTTCAAAGACATCTGGGGTCCTACAGCAGTACCATGCTCTCTCTGTCCATGGTCTGAGGTCCGGTTGAGGACAATGATCCTATGCCAATGATACAAGTATCAGCAAGTTAGTTCCTCTGATTCTGATTTGAAATGGTATAAAACAAGTTATTTAGTGGGAATGCTGACACAGCATTCCAACTATCTGTTATGCTACGCACAAAATTATTTATTATTCCGCCGGGTTATTTTGCACCACTTCTCCTCCCACATTGAACATCGCAGAAACTCCGTTCAAACATCAAAACGTTCAGCTCGGTCTGGAATCAATGGCAATTACTTTTATCATTCATAACTTTCATAATTCCAGAGATACATCCCATAATTCATTCCATTTTAACATGGAAGTCAATGGAGAAACTCTTCAGACTTCAACAATCTTCATGCAACTTCAACTGCTAACTGCTCCTTCTTCAACTGCTGCTCCTTCATACTTTCACTCAGAAACCTCATTCCAACTTTAAAATGTTACACATCTTCCTGACATTATTCGTGTAACACAACTTTTAAATCTGATTCGTACTTTTAGAGATATTAAACATTGTTCAGACCTTGGTAAAGAGGCCTTCTTCAGATTTTAGAGTGCGTGATGTCACAGCTAGAGTGGAGGACAGATTTAATTTTGCCCTCATATTTTCTTTTATACCTGCCATAATTCCCAAACCCTACATTCCTGAGACATAATTTCTCATGAGAAAAGTAGGAAAACATCTCGTAGCTTGATAGATAACAAAAAATTAAGCAAAACAATTAAACAAAATGCCTCTTGAGGGCATGAAGTGACAAAAACGTTCAACATGTCTCCATTAAAACCCATTGTAAGTTCAGCCTCATCTTTCCCCACCACAGCAGCCGTACACTTTTAGTTAATCTGCCAAAAAGGCCACATTATTAACCCGAAAGTACACAAAAAGCACACTTCAGATGCTCAACTTCCTTGACATGCTTCACACTTTGATATTTCACCGATATCTGTTACGGTTCTTCAACAAAACGTTCACATGTAACAGGTTTATCTCTCATTCAGGACAATGAAAATGCTCTCCTCTCACTGATCACCATGGAAACCTTTGATCTCTGGACACGTTGTTAGCTCAAATATAAACACCTGTGTCACAGAACACGATGATGTCATAACTCTAATTGACATAATTAGAGCAGCAGACTAACGACGTGGTCACTGGAGAAAATCTTTTTTTCTTTTTGTTTAGGTACACACTGGATGAAGGAGATTGTCCCTCTGATCATGAGTGGAGGAGATCCAGAACCTGTTGACAATATTGTTAACTGGAAACGTGTTCCCTGGCTTGAATTGCAGCAGACCGCCTCCCTCGAACTTGAACAGAGGCCCTCTCCACGACTGTTGACTACACACTTCCAGTACAACATGATGCCACCATCTTTCTTTGAAGTAAAGCCAAAGGTAAACCTATCAACTAAGGTGGATCAGATTCAATGTGATAAACGCATCACAGACAGTATGTGTGAAGGAAAGGGTCTGACGTCATGTCATCACTGCAGGTCATCTATGTGACGAGGAACCCCAAAGATGTGTTCACATCGTCTTTTCATCATCATGAGGCGGCTTCCTTCCTGGTGGACCCAGGCCCACAGACCCAGTTCCTCCACAACTTCCTTGATGGAAAAGGTTTTTCTGATTGTTACAGATATGTAATGTTTAGAATGCGTTCATAACAAGATACATATCAGTAAGTGGGCCGAAAACTCTAAAAAACTCTTTTACCTGGTAACATGATTTAAAGGGGACTTATCATGCACATTCTCAATTGTGCTTTGGGATTTTACTAGCCCATCATTACGAACTTTAATGTTCAAAAAACACATTCTTGTTCTTATAAATTCTCTGAAAATGCTCATTTTAAGCACCTGTCTACAACTCATGGTCTTTCAAGATCTCCCTTGTTAAAGGCTACACATAATGCAAAATGCACTTGCTAATGGCTTTGCAAGATAAACATCTATCCATGGCGTGCTAGCAACCCAAAATACCAGCAAGAGTAAAATAGAGAAGACGGTCCATTCTTATACATTGTGGGTCGCTAGCACGCCATGGATACATGTTTATCTTGCAAAGCCATTAGCCAGTGCATTTTGCATTATGTGTAGCCTTTAACAAGGGAGATCTTGAAAGACCATGAAGTTCAGTAAACAAACTAAGTTATGATAACCTCTTATGAAAGGAATACTTGTGTCTCCTGTTCCTTCCAGTGCTGTTTGGCTCGTGGTTTGATCATGTAAAGAGCTGGCTGAATGCTGAAGATGAAGAGCACATCATGCACATCTCCTATGAACAGATGATAATGGTGAGACTCAGGAACAATCCTCAAATCTGCCTCAAATCACTTTTCCAAATATTTCCCCAATAGTTCTGACCTTGATTGAGCAATCATCTTCAAACTCCTCCTACTAAGATATTGTATACTGGGAGAGCCACTGCAGGACTATGAGCTGATCTGTGTTTCTCTTTAGGACCTGAAGGACTCTGTGTGCAACATGGCTCAGTTCCTGCAGAAACCTCTGGACCATGAAGCGATAGAGAAGATAGCCGACCGATGTTTGAAAAAACACATTCTTGTTCTTATAAATTCTCTGAAAATGCTCATTTTAAGCACCTGTCTTTTTAAAGCAACCCAAAATAACAGCAAGAGTCAAATAGAGAAGACGGTCCATTCTTATACATTGTGGGTCGCTAGCACGCCATGGATACATGTTTATCTAGCAAAGCCATTAGCCAGTGCATTTTGCATTATGTGTAGCCTTTAACAAGGGAGATCTTGAAAGACCATGAAGTTCAGTAAACAAAAATACTAAGTTATGATAACCTCTTATGAAAGGAATACTTGTGTCTCCTGTTCCTTCCAGTGCTGTTTGGCTCGTGGTTTGATCATGTGAAGAATATTTTCCCAATAATTCTGACCTTGATTTAGCAATCATCTTCAAACTCCTCCTACTAAGATATTGTATACTAGGAGAGCCACTGCAGGACTATGAGCTGATCTGTGTTTCTCTTTAGGACCTGAAGGACTCTGTGTGCAACATGGCTCAGTTCCTGCAGACACCTCTGGACCATGAAGCGATAGAGAAGATAGCCGACCGATGTTTGTTCAAGAACATGAAGAAGAACAACATGTCAAACTACTCTACTGTTCCTCGTGAATTACTGGACCAGACAAAGTCTGGGTTTCTCAGGAAAGGTGAGTGTCATTAAATAATACATACAGTACAAAAGGTGTATTTGAATCTGGAGGAGCTATAACCGAGGATACACTGATGTATTTCCGTTACATCCTGAAATGATCTGTTCATGAAATACATAATGATGTTTATGGAGAGTTTGCTGGGCTTTATTGTTTTATTTTCTCACTAATATTGCACTATCTAGTCATAGCATGTCTTTGGGGGTAGGGCATTCATTGGTGCTGAGTCATGTTTGGTGGATGGTATCAGGACCATCAGGGAATCCTCACATAGAAACTGACATACTACACGAAGTAAGCTAAGTAGCCAATATAAGACAGCAGAACAGATAAATGTGGGCTCACTATTTGGCAAGATGACTAAGTCATGAACCTGCTTGCCTTATAGTGAACGGATGAAGATCACAATGATTAATAAAACATTTCATTTCCAATCAAAAATGTCTGCATCAAATGTTGTAACTAAATCACAGAAAATGTTGCTCCTCCTCAATTTTACAATATTTGTATTTTTCGAGTTTTATTTAATCTATTCATCTGCCCTGCTTTTACACATCCTCATCTTTGCATTTACGTTTATTTTATATAAAGATAGAATAGATACATAGATACATAGATTCGGAGGGATGAAACGATGGGTTACGTATTGTAGCCCTAGTTATATAAGCACAGGCGGAGCCCTCTACTGGACTCTAGGGGTACTACCCCTTGACCTCACTATGCGAGCGTTCACCTACTAAGATATCTTTAAAAATAGCTGGCCCTCTGGGCGGGCCTACCTGAGTGCGCGCGCAAGCCCACCGTATATAAGGCGGCCTCGCCTCCTGACTGTCATCCTACACCCTCTTCAGCGAGCACAGGACAGACAGGGCCCCTAGTAGAGGGCTCCGCCTGTGCTTATATAACTAGGGTTACAATACGTAACCTATCGTTATATCTCACAGGCTCCGCCCTCTACTGGAATATAGAGTGGCGAAGTCCCTCCCCTTCCGGGGGACCTCCATGGGACCTTATTTCGGAAAAATTATGTATTGAAGTCAATGGAGAGAGAAAGATTATCTTTCGATCCCGTTTGAATTGTGCCACGAATTACACATATGATGTTAGGGTTAGGGTTAGTTACTAATGCTTTTGCATTGAAACGGTCCCTGTATTGTACAACATTGTACAATACATTAACCTTTTTCAATACTAAATAAAGTCCATCAATTGGAGGCTTCAATACCTCACTTTCTTACCCATACTAAAGCACTCTCCTCTCCGCCTCTTCCTCCAGGTGCTGCAGCCTGGTTCTCTGGGTACTCTATGTCCATATTTAAGACACTTTCCCCGCATTTTAATCACTATTTCTGCCTTGGAAAGTGAGGTTCTCTACACACTTTTTCCCCTAAAATGATTTTAAATCATTAGTTTTGCATTTAAATGCATTTATCTTATCATTAATATGGTTCCCTGAAACAATGCACATACACTGGAGCTCACTGGGGTCCTGTATATGCTTTAATCAGGCGTTTTAACACTTTTGTCCATGAACATAATTGTTATTACTGCACAGAAACGCACTCATAACACCCTTATTACTTATCGTAGCTGCACGTCCATCCCATTGATTAGCATCGTGAGAAGACACAAAATCGATCGGTACCTACATTATCACTCCATGATAAGAACTCTTGAAGATATTACAAGAACAGACATCAGCGCTAGGTAGCTAAAAACGGCAACATGGCTTACCTTGGTCGCTGTCTGGTCAAAAGTGGTCTTCAATGGCAGTAAAACGGTAAAAACGCTGCTGAAGGTTAATCCATAGGTTAATCCAATGTGTCTGTGTCCCTTTGAAATGATTTCTGATAATCCATAAGCAATAAAACTGCTTTTCCGTTTCCAGATATCAGAGCGAGCGATAGGTTCGCTCTCATGCAAAGCTGTGTGCGCATAGCTCTCATTTCTCAATGGTAACATGTGTGTGTATGTGGAAATTCCCCTTCGATTCTATTGGCTCTAACGGTCAAAAAGAAATGTCAATCACCAAAATCGAAAAATGGGTTCCAGAGAAACAGTGAAAACGCCCATTTCCACCCAAATCACCTCAGAGATGGATTTTATTTGCTAAACCTCTCTAAAAAGGTCAAATGTCACTTGTTTTGCATAAATCTCGATACAGGCTACTTATTATATGTTTTACTTTGGATTCCTAAAGCTTTTAGTCTACCTTACCATCATCCAAGGGTAGTTTTCACTATAAGTAAAAAATAATTTTGGACGGACACTATAATTTACAGTTTTTTACTATGTTCAATCTGAATTTTCTTTAAAATAAAAAATATCTATACTTTTCTACATCCAACTCACAGGTTTATCATTACTTTGAGGAAAAAGATTATTAATTTAACCTTTTAGAAGGGAAGATATGGTCATTTGTTCTGGGAATGTCATTTTTGAGCCTGAGACCTGAAAAACAGGCACAGTGCTTAACAGGTTAATCACTATCATGGGGCTATATAAATCCATCTCCGGGTAATTCGGAGCACAATTGTACCTTTTACTATTTAAATGTATTTGTATTGGGCTAGGAAAGTGACATTTCTGGGTGATTTTGTCAGTTTATGGAGCTTAGCCCACAAATCCTGGAGGTTCCAGGCCGAGTTTGGGTGCTCATAAGCAGCCTGCCAAGCGCACCCACCCGTGGAAAGAAGAAAAAAGTGAAGAAAACGGTTAATTATATTTTAAAATAATAAAAAATGAAGTTTAAAAAAAGTGTCGAAAAAATGACTAAGTGCCAACGGAGATGGGGTCCGAAAAAGCTCAACCCTTTGGGTCTTTGGGTCCTTTTTTCCCCTTCTCCGTTGTAAGTTGCAACGGAGAAGGGGGAAAGTGTCCAAGGCTTAATTTCCCCTTCTCCGTCAAAAATATTCATCCATACATTTTGGACTACAGTCTGCACGAAATCGGAAACCCGGTTTTTGGGTGCACAAAAAAAACGGCTGTCTGCAAACACGGAGGTGAAGTGTCCGCTCACCATGCACTTTGGGTCGGCCTTATTTTGTGCCTCAAGACCCCCCCAGTCTGGTTCTCACAAAAGTTGACTGACAATGTGCCTCTGGAGGAATGTAGGGGGAGTTGACAGGGGACTCTTCCCGCCTCATGAGGCACTATTTTCGGACACTATTTTTACATTTTCACCCCTTTTTCTCGGTTCTCACAAAAGTTTACTCTGACAAATGTGCCTCTGGAGGAATGCAAGGGGAGTTGACAGGGGACTACCCACATCATGAGGCACTATTTTCGGATACTTTTTTTCATTTTCACCCCTTTTGCCTGGTTCTCACAAAAGTATACTTTTTTTACTTTTATTTTGGCAGCTGTTTTTGATTTAGTCTTAGTCTTTAGACGAAAATGGTTATTAGTTACATTTTAGTAATTTCTATCCTTCATAGTTTTAGTCGACGAAAACTCAAAACGTTTTAGTCTACTTTTAGTCGATGAAAAATTACATTTTAGTCAAGTTTTAGTCAAAATGTTTTCTCTCTTTAAACCAATTCAGTTACAGGTTTCTGACATTGGAATCAATGGGACAGCATCAAGTGTTGAAATTCGTAGAGCAACATTTCACTCTCTTAACACTTGACTTGTGTAATATCTAGGGATGGGTATCGTTGAGGTTTTCTACGGTACTACTAGTCTTAGCGATACTGCTTATCGATCCGGTACTTTAACGGTATTCTTCTATTTACTTTGTCATTTTTTAAAGGGAAATACTAACAAATTGTTAACCGAATTAATCCATCCATCCATCTTCTCCTGCTTATCCGTGGTCGGGTCGCGGGGGTAGCAGTTCCAGCAGAGAGCTCCAAACTTTCTTTTCCCTGGCGACATCAACCAGCTCTGACTGGGGGATCCCAAGGCGCTCCAAGGCCAGCAAAGAGATATAATCCCTCCACCTGGTCCTAGGTCTACCCCTTGGTCTCTTCCCAGCTGGACGTGCCTGGAACACCTCCCTAGGGAGGCGCCCAGGTGGCATCCTAACTAGGTGCCCGAACCACCTCAACTGGCTCCTTTCGACGCGAAGGAGGAGCGGCTCAACTCTGAGTCCCTCCCTGATGACCGAACTTCTCACCTTATCCCTAAGGGAGACACCAGCCACCCTGCGGAGAAAACCCATCTCGGCCGCTTGTATCCGCAATCTCGTTCTTTCGGTCATGACCATAGGGGAGGGTAGGAACGAAAATGGCCCGGTAGACAGAGAGCTTTGCCTTCTGGCTCAACTCCCTTTTCGTCACAATGGTGCGGTAAAGTGACTGCAGTACCGCTCCCGCTGCTCCGATTCTCCGGCCCATCTCACGCTCCATTGTTCCCTCACTCGAGAACAAGACCCCGAGATACTTGAACTCCTTCACTTGTGGTAAGGACTCATTCCCTACTTGGAGTGGACAGTCCATCGGTTTCCTGCTGAAAACCATGGCCTCAGATTTGGAGGTGCTGATCCTCATCCCAGCTTCTTCACACTCGGTTGCGAACCGATCCAGTGAGTGCTGAAGGTTGCAGACCGATGAAGCCATTAGAACCACATCATCTGCAAAAAGCAGTGGTGCAATCCTTAGTCCACCGAACTGCAGACCCCCTCCCCCATGACTACGCCTCGAAATCCGATCCCATGTATATTACAAACAGGATTGGTGACAAAGCGCAGCCCTGGCGTAGGCCAACCCTCACCGGAAATGGGTCCGACTTACTGCCGAGGACCCGGACACAGCTCTCGCTTTGGGAGTACAGAGATTGGATGGCCCTGAGTAGAGACCCCCTCACCCCATACTCCCGCAGCACCTCCCACAGTAACTCCCTGGGAACTCGGTCATACGCCTTCTCCAAGTCTACAAAACACATGTAGACCGGATAAGCGTACTCCCAGGCCCCCTCCAGGATCCTTGCGAGAGTAAAAAGCTGATCCGTCGTTCCACGACCAGGACGGAATCCGCATTGTTCCTCCTCAATCTGAGGTTCGACAATCGGCCTGACCCTCCTTTCGAGTACCTTAGAGTAAACTTTCCCGGGGAGGCTGAGTAGTGTGATGCCTCTGTAATTGGCACACACCCTCTGATCCCCCTTTTTAAAAAGGGGAACCACCACCCCGGTCTGCCACTCCTTCGGTACTGTTTCCGACTTCCACGCAGCGTTGATGAGACGTGTCAACCATGACAGTCCCTCAACACCCAGAGCCTTCAGCATTTCCGGGCGGATCTCATCCACCCCCGGGGCTTTGCCACTGTGGAGTTGTTTGACGACCTCAGTGACCTCCCCCCTGGGAGATTGGTGTTGATCCCCCGTCATACTCCAGCTCTGCCTCTAACATAGAGGGCGGAGTTATCGGGTTCAGGAGTTCCTCAAAGTGTTCCTTCCAA